CACCTGACTGACTGAGCAGGGTCGTTCGCAGGCTAGTCGCAGAGCTTGCTCATCAGCTGATCATTTCAATATCGGGTGTGTTGCAGCCGGGAGACGTGGAAAACATGCCGAAAAGCGTCCCCGAGGACCGGAGTTGGAGACCCCGGTTCTAGCGGGATTCACATGCGCACATAAAGCTGCCTTTCACCATTCCGTTGTCATTCTTGGACTTAAACGTCACCTTCGCGGCACTCGATTCATGGCTAATGCTAATGACACACACACACACACACACGCCTATGCACAGAACTCTTCAAATTTTGGACCAAAACCTGCACCAAAATTTCGGTGAAAAAAAATTGTCAGGCAAGGCCAACTCTGAAAAAAGATTTGTGCTGAAAACCATATTTGGACCATTTAGAGCACAAATTGAGCCAAAATGCTAACGCGGGAGGGAGGGAGGCTTTATTCTCGGGCTGCAACTAAAGATTACTTCAATCATGGTTATTTGACTCATTTTTCAATTCAATGGATTGGAATTCAAAAACTTTTTTCAGATCCAAATCCCTTTTTTCAAAGCCCCAGGACATTATTTCAAAAATGGGGAAACAAAAAGTGATTGGGGAATCAGTTGCCGGTTTGGTCTGCAGCGTTCATGAGAAAATCAGCAAAAAATGTCGATCAAGCGCCGACGTTTGCGAATGTTATGTTTTGATAAAACCCAAATGGTGGCATTCTTGGCTCGTCGTCGACGACAGAAAGCGGAATATTTCCGCAAGGTGCCAGAATTTGGATCCTTTCAAATCTAACAAGGTCTCTCTCCCCTTTGATCAGGAATTGTTGTGCCTCTACTTGATTACGATTTTTTGCATCCCAAAGAGATCTTTTTTTTTTCTTTTTAATATATGCTTGACAAAAGTGAAAGTAATGCGTCAAAGTCCCAAAATGGAAATTTGTTTTTAGCCGTCAACAATTTTTTTTGTTTCCCTTATCCCTTAATGATGACACAGCGAGCTTCTATGATAACTGCTGAAAAAGAAGAAAGAAAAAAAAACGTTTTATATATTGAGCTATTCTTTAGTCTGACGAGTCCACCCACTAATTTAAAAAAAAAAAAAAAAGGCGTGATGCAATCATGCAATCTACATGCTCCCACCTTGACCTGCTCCACTCCTCTTGTTCTACTTTGTTCTCGCGTGAGCACGGGGTGATTATTATTATTATTTTTTTTTTTTTTGCCTTTTCATAATAATTTTTGTTTGTGCAATTCTTAGTTGTCATGAGGGGAAAGCCTGGCCACAGGAGGATTACAGCCACATAGAAGAAAGAAAAACAAAAAGTGTACAGTCACTTTGAGATGGCACAATTGCTTGCCGAGTAGAAAAAAAACAATTGGACGAGTCCAAAGTCTAATTTGTTCAGGAAAATGGGGTCTTGTTAAAAGAACACATTTACATTTTGTATCAAATAAGGATGACCGCTTTGTTTTATTATACTTAAAAATTGGCAAATGTATCATTTTAATGTTGCAATTTTCTTTGGCGGGGGCGTTCTGCAGAAATCAGCACTTTATTATTCTCATTGTCCTCTTATTGTGATTTTATTCTTCTAAAATTCATTCAATTCTGTCTTTTTGCTTCGGATTTCGGCATTATCATGATCTCAAGATTAAAAAAAAAAATCTTCATAAAATCTATGACTCATAAAATGTTTTGGGGTTTTTTGGGGTTTTTTTTCCAACTCGACTCTGGTGATATTTGTTCTCCCCCCGCCGCCCCATAATCGTTTTTTGTTGTTGCTGTTCAGTGTGGCCCTAATCCTCCTTGGTCAGGGTCACAGTGTTGGGGGGGGGGGGGCAGGGGGGGCTTAGTGGCTGTTGTGCGCCAAGGTCTCGACCAGCACCATTGGACAAAGAGGTCGTCCAGTTTTCCTCTGCTGTATTTTTATGGGTGGGGTTGTTGAAAGTGGACCGCCTCCTTGCTACCCGTCAATCAAAAGTTGGCCTCTTTTTATATTTGTGTGCAATCTATTTATGTGTATAGCAGCAGAAGACTCTTTCCATGTAACCTTTGGCCAAATGATGTCACCCATGTCCCTGATGTTTGTTGTTTTTTTTTTTTTGAGGTAATTGTTGTTGCATCGGGGTGACCCCCCCCCCCCAGGTAGAGCTTTGCACACGCGCACACGGCGCATTTCGAATGTTGACGGTGGACTCGATGTGTCCTGGTACGTGGTCGTCGCCGTCTCGGTTTGGAGGCTCGCCCTTCACTTGGCTGGCCACTACTCGTCCTCTTCCTCCTCCTCCTCATTTGTGCTTTAAGAACGTTCCAAGTAGAAAAGGATGAAATGTTTTCTTTTCACTTTTCCAATATGTAGCATTTTTTTTTTTTAATATACAGCGGACGGTTTCCGGTGTGGTGTCGTTCTAATCCCGTCAAGTGAGTGAAGCGGGCAGGAGAGCTTCGTACGTACACGTCGACATCTGCGTCTAACCGACATGTTGCATTCAATTTGTGTTTGTATTTTGAGTTTGTCCAGAGAGTTTGCTAAGCATATGTTGCTTTTGGCGTCAAGTTGCATTCGGTTCCCCCAGAAATGTGCCTTAGTCTCGGCCAGTCCTTCACTTTGTGCCTTGTCCTCCACGTCGCCCCGGTTCTGATTGCAATCGAACCGAGCCAAGCCCAGTCGCGTCTGGTAACCTCATAGTCGCAAAAACTCGACCCAGCGACCACCCAAGCCCACTTTGGACCCCATTAGATCACTTGTCATCCCCAATCCAAGCCACATGGTTCTCTCGAGAACCCACTTCGACCCCATCAGAACCCATGCGGTCACTGTCACGAGCAATGCTGACCCCACTGCAACCCACAGACACCTCCGGAACCTCTTAGCGTCCCAAAAACCCTCTTGGACCCCACTGAAAAACTTGAAATATCCAGTTGCGCCAATTATGACTCTATTAGAACCCACTCGGTCCCCTGTTGAACCCGTTTTGACTCAATTAAAACCCAGACAGTCACTGCAAGCCATATTCTGCACGGGGGTTCCCAAAGTCCCACTCTAGAACCATGTATGACCCCCATGTACTGAAAAGACGCTATCAACTCAAACATCCAAAAGAGTGACGGAGAAAATCTTTGAGGTCCCATTAGAACTAGCCCTGATTACTTTCTAGAACCCGCGCAGTAACCAAAATTCTGCCCTCCAGTAGAACCGACAAAATCTCGGACAAGAACACATCTTGTCGGACTTGACCAGACAACTGCGACAAGAACTGACTCTGTCCAAAATGGCCGGTTCCGACCCCCACTTCAACCCGTGAGGTAGCCATGACGACCACTTCTGACTCCAGTCAAACCCTTGCTGTGCTTTCTAGAACCTACCGAGTAACCCAAAATCCGACTCTGACCCCACAAAGTCCCCTCTTCTCGAACCCATCACTATTATCAGTCAGTACTATCATGTTCCCGCATATTCTGGCGCTCTCAAGTCTCCAAAACTCACTCTTGAACCCATGTAGGCCCCCAGTAGAACCCGCATAGTGCCAAAAGACCCATATTGACCCAATTAGAACACCGACAGTCGTCATTGTGAACCCATTTTGTCTCCACAAGAACTCCACAGAGTCCTCTCAAAGGCTAAAAAGCAGAAAGTGGCTACGAGAATCGACATGAGTCCAAAAAGACCCCACTTTAAAGCCTTATGGCTCCCACTCGAACCCCCCGGGGTTTTTTTTATTTGCCTGACGGTCTGCCAGTCCAAGTGAAGCTGCTCGCAGGTTTGAAGTCGAACTTAATGGCATTGAAGATAAAGCGCTCCCAGGGGCCAACGGGGGATTTTATTCCTTTCCAAAATGTTGAAAAAACAATTTGACGTCGCTCCAGTTAGCGTGAGCCGAACTGTCTAAACGTACGTGAGAAAAGTCGGGGACCGGAAGCGGCCTTAACGTAGGACTTGGCCTCGTGGCAACGTTTGGCGCGGTTCCACCGGCCGCTTTGAAAAGTTTCTACTCGTTTGTGGAGGGAGAAGTCCCGGGAGAAACTTTTGGAGCGCCAAGGCTCGGCGGAACCCGATGCTAACGTCGTAAACGATGGACTCTGTCTCGTTAGACAGCGGAAGGCTCGTCACCAGCGTTACTATTTAAAACGGGGGTGCGCCGAGGAGGTACCTCACCCACCGTTCCGTTCCCACCCCGAAGCAGAACGTTCCGCAATGTTAAGTCTTGGGGAGACGATGTTAGCATGTTGCGCGTTTTGCGTCGAGAAACCGGGTTTGGAGTTTCCCACTCTGGGATCAGCGTTGAACTTGTTGTATGATTTAGTTCACTGAGCCCGTTCCTGCTTTTGTATGTGCTCCAAAACTCGACTGATTTTGTGATATTATCCATCTTGATGACCATTGTTACTATGGGGACTCGAACCCGCTCAAAAGTTTCTTTTCTGCACTGGTATCTTCTTATTAAAGCATATTATTGACCCGATTGAGATTGTCCTTGTCTGCATCGATGCGACCGATCCGTTTGCCTTGTCGGCTCATCGTAGCGCTATGTTTTGCTTTTCGGGGGGGTCTGAGAGAAATCCCAAGGCCGGAGCCTTCAAAAATGCACTGGACGCTCCGCGCCAAAAGTCTCAGAATGGCAAGATCTTGAGTTTCAAGACCAAAAGTGAAATCTGAGGCACAAGTTGAGGCGTGCAGCTTCGATTTCGCGGCATTGCTACCTCGGCAACCACCTCGGAATAAAGCACCTTTCGCCGGACTTTGACTTGACTGTGGCCTCGTTCGATGAAGTCCTTTGCCGTGACACCATTGTGTGTCACCGTCTTGTCACGATGCGCTTGGGTTGTGGCTGGCTTCAAGCCAAAAGGTGCTCTGTCCAGCACAGAGATAAAATAAGTGCCGCAGCAGAGATCTTGAGTCTCATATTCATCTTTTGCTGCGAACGCCAAATGTCTCCAATACACAACAAAAACAAGCGAGTTGACCTTGGCCTCGCAAAATCCTTTTTTGGAGGGCACTGGAAGCCGGGCCGCAAACGTTTGCCCAAGTCGCGCATGTTTGTGTTGTGCTGTGACCTGGCCGTTCAAAACCCGCCGGGATGGATCCCCGACACGCACGCACGCACAAACGGCAAGCCAGCCTTTTTCCCATGACTGAAGCTTGTTTGTTTTGAAGCAAACGCAAGAGGGAGGGTAAAAAAAAGATTTGCCGCTAAATTTCTTGCGTCTTTGACATTTTGCCCCAAGCAACGAAGATGATTTTCCATGGGCGCGTCCAGCGTTTTGCGCCTCCCCCGAGACCAGCACGTTAACGCAACTTTGTGAACTCTCACAAGTTCTTCCTGATCTGCACACACAAACAACATCACAAATAACATATTTGACTCAATCGTGCATCCGTATGTAATCTGCCATACGTGCGTGCGTGGACGGAGGGCGGCCTCCCGGCACCCTGTTACATCACATCCCAAATGTCCACACGCAGCCATTGTCTGCGCGAGTCCCCTTTGTGCCTGCGCAGGAAGTGGCAAGAAATCTGATGTTTGGCCCAAGCGAAGCCCCGGAATTGTCTTTGCGGCCACGGTTGCTCTCCACCGGACAAAAGCGCCTTCCGCAAGCCTTAAATTACTCCTCCATTCTCCTTCGCCTTTGACCTCCCCAAAAGAAGAGAAATTCCTTCGAAGTGCTGGGGACACGTCACGCTCGCGCGCACGAAACGGAAAAGACGATCTCACCGTATGCGACTTCCTTTCGTGCCACTTTGGATGAACTGCGCGTGTGTCAGTCAAGCCAGTTGAAATTTGGGAATCTTAGCACCGATTGAAACCACAGGTGTCAAACTCGAGTTCTGAGGCCAGGTCTGGTCCTCCGCCTCAATTTATGTGGCCCATAAAAGCAAATCACGCAGGTCAACTTCGATGATGCCTGCCAATATCTGTACCAACGTTTGAAACGGTCAGATGGAAGGAATCCATCATGTTGAGCTCTTGCTAGCATCTTCTTGTTACCTTGATGACAGTCACGTGAGCAATAGTTGAACAAACTCTTCTGATCGCAAAACTAATTATTCATCAATTAGTTGTGTAGCTGTTTAAGTCACTACTAAGCTAACCGGGCAAGAGTCAGACTGATTCATGAATCACTTCGAGGAGTTCTCCACAGTTACCCATCTGGGGCCGCGCCATTGGGATCTGCTGGGGAAAGGCGGGACACTCGCTACAATACTTGGCGCTGATTGGGCACTTCCTTTGCGGGCCCCCTGGGGGCGGGCAAGGGTCAGCGATGACGCATGCTCCCCCTCTGCATGATTTGGAGACAAACACAGCAGGCGGCCCGACTTCCGGGGAGGACCTGCGATGACTTTCTCGTGAGAAAAATAAATGGAGCCTTCTCAAACAAACAGTTGTTCTTTCTCTTCAAATTGTAGGCCGACGTTTATTTCAACACTTTTCTCCAGAAAACATGTTGATGGTATTTCAAAGGCCTAATGTCTAACTAATGACTAACAAGTTGATTTGAAAGTGGGCATGGGCCAAAGACCGGTTTGACGGTTGACCGCGCCACTTCCATGTCGGCTTCTCGGGGTCAGATTTGAATTTTATAAACATCTTTTTAAATGATACAATCATAATTCATGCTGATGTTTTCTTATTTTTAATTTAATTACAATTAACCAATTAAATGTTTTTTTTTTACTTGATTGTTTGTAATGACAAAACAGTGGGTTTGGGTTTGGAAATATTAAAATAACATGCGATGATTGAATTTGATGAACCATAAAGAACTGACAATTTACTGTTTGGGTTTTTTTTTTTCTTAATTGGTGAGTGCATCTTCCCCAAGCCTGCAAAAAGCATTTTCGTTGTGGGAGTGATGCTGGGCTCCCTCTTGTTTGGAGCGCTCTCTGATAAGAACGATGACATTCCCTTTCAGTAAGACTCTCTCGCATTGGCTGTGGGTTGAGTGCTCGTCTCGTTGGCTTGTTTTCACCTCAGCAGCGCATGACAAGAGCGACTTGGACTTTGAATGTTGTTCCCATTCGGGAGCAGAGCTTACTTTGTGGTCATCTGCTGCCCCCTCTTGGTGAGGAGTGTGTATCACTGTTGCAAGAAGTGAACTGCAATATCGTGACCGACAGCCGTGCTCGTCGTACTCGCTCGAGGTGACTAAAAGTCCTATCAGTGCACCAGATGTTGTTCTAAGTAAATTCGGTGTGTTCAATGTGGCAAATATGTTTTGTTCAGACAGGACGGTTTGGGCTTTACGGGCGTGTTTTGAGTCTGTGGCTCATCTGGTTCTCCTCCTTGAGGACGTGTGGGCCCTGCTCCCCCCCAGGCGGCCCGATGTGCCGGCGCGGGGTTCTGCGGACTGTTGGTGCTGGTCCTGCCCGAAACCCTCAACCTCGGCCCATCCTCGGACGCGGAGAAGCCCGGATGGTGCGTCACGTGACTCGTCAGGGTTATTTCGCCGGCCCGTGTTGTGGGGGGTTCGCTAACTTGCCTCTTTTTTTTTTTTTTTAATAATCTTTATTGAACAAGTCAGAATACAATTCTCAGAAAACAAAACGAAACTAACTTGCCTCTTGTTTAGTTTTCAGGGACGTGACGTCACAATGGAGCGACGGGAACTCCTCGGTGGCATCAGCAGGTTACAACAGAGACTGCAAGAGTCACAGAAAGACCTTTTTTCAAAAGTTTACAGCACAGATAACAGCACCCCCCGCCACCCCCCCAAAAAATGCAAGCATGGAACGAAACAAAGCATCGCTTACAGTAAGCATTCCCCCAGAAGTAGTGTGTGTCCCTTAAGCTGACAATGTCAAAGTCAAAGTTTGCTCCACCTGGCCGGTGGTGCGCAAGGTGACGTTTCAAGCGCAGGACGGCTGTTGTCGCTCTGTACATATGAGCCGTAAAGAGTCTATTTCTGTGCGCAGCTGTTCCCATAAGCATTGCGACCCTGAGACCAGTCGGAAGAAGCTTTAGAATGGAACGTCCGGTCTGGTCATTCGGGAACTGCCTGCATGTGTAAAGAAGGCGCACCTAACTGCCCCCCCCCGCCCCAGCCCCCAAAATGTTCCTCACCACTTGAGTCATATAAACACTCGCCATTGTTTTGCCGATCAAGGTTCAAGGTTTCACTTTTCTCCTTGGGAGGAATTGGCCTTGGAATGAGGGACAGCTGCATACATGATCAGAAGCGATCAGCCATTTTCAAAAGAAAGTCGCGTACCAAACCACGGACTTGTGGATGACTGGACTATCAAGAGGCCCCACGCGGCTGAAGCCAGAGGGCGGCCATCTTAAGTTGCCACTGTTACCGACTTCTGTTATTTTTTTCAACAGCAACATGACGCAGTGAAATAATTTAAGTAGCAGTCAGAAACATACACGATAAAAAATAAAAGTTTGAAATTGCATCCTTACCGAAGAAATGTGTATGTAGCGCTTTTCCCAGACTTCTTGGTAACATTCACAGCGGCATTATCGCCACGGAGACAGAGAATACCGTGAAAACACTGCCGAGAAATCAAGGGATTCAAGATAGGTGGGCTGAGCGATTGACCAATATAAGATGGCCGCCGGACGCAATCAAATGCGAGCAGAGAGAACAAATAATATAAAGCGCAAATAACTTCACCGTATTTTATGTTTTTCAACACGTTTGTAATATTTTTGAAGTGTGTTTCAATCAGGACCTTAACAAACATGAAATTTTGTAAATGCGATAAAAAGATGCCTAAAATAGAGTAATTCTATAGCGTGGATTTAACTTACACAGCTCCAGCCTCCCTGTGTGGAGTTTGCGTGTTCTCCCCGGGCCTGCGTGGGTTTTCTCCGGGTACTCCAGTTTCCTCCCACATGACAAAAACAGGCATGGCAGGCTGATTGAATACTCTAAATTGTCCCGAGGTGAGAGTGTGAGCACGGATGGTTGTTCGTCTCTGTGTGCCCTGCGATTGGCTGGCAACCGGTTAAGGGGGGGCGCCCGCCTACTGCCCGTCACTGCATAATGGTTGTCTGTGTGTTCTACTTGTGTATTTTGTTGTACCCCAAGTGAAGTTCGGGTTCTCTTTCATGAAGTCCTTGGTTGTTTCTTTGCATGACATGCTGACTGTAAGCTCTTCTGATCACCGCCCGCCTTTGGAGGAATAAAGTTAACATTCCAAGGAAGACCAAAGTGCAGTCAAGCCCTTATGTAAGGAGCCCACCAACGCCACTGACACGTGAGATTCCGCGAGAGGATAGTCGAGCCCGTCCTGAAATTCTTGATAACCTCTCATATGTCGCAAAGACGCATGAAAACCTTTCGCAATGGACATCTCATTTCATTTCTCATCGTGAAAGGGACAAAGTGATTGTATGAAGGTCCTCTTTGCTTTATTTGGCAGAAGGTGACATGAAGAACTCTCTCTATTTTTATTAATTCAATGATCGGATTGTTTTTTTTTTTTTGTTTGTTTGTTTTTTAACCCAGCCAGCTGGTGATCGTAAATCTCATTGCAGATTCTGCTCAAAAATAATCATCAACATGAAGGTGTGACTTGACAGCAAATGCAACAGCAATGCGCTAACGTGGACGTAGTACGCCGGCAGCTGCTGTCACATCTGAAACGTGGGATTCGTTTCTGGCAGACACTTTGGAAACACTTCAAATTGTGCCATATGCACTGCGGACAAAAGTACTCACACTGGTTATACTTAAGTAGAATGACAGATAATTCTGAGGAAAACAAAAATCGGTCAAAGTACCAATTCAAGTCCTAGATTTCACAATTTAAAGAGTACCAAAAAATATATATATATTGCGCTATCGCAGATAAATGAAAAAAGTCGACACAGCCCTGTTAGTTAAGATAAGATAAGATACATCGTTTCCAAACCTTTTCCAACACAACCTAGTAGTCAGGAGATTACTCACCACTTCCATACAAGACATGACAGCACAAAGTGAAATCCTGACGAGTGCCTTCAAATGCAACCTCCTTGCATCACAGGCCATCAATGGGTCCTTTTATTTCCATCATCGCCTCGGATACAAGACATAACTCCTCACAAATGCCGTTGCTGGTGAGCGCTCATGATGGCGTGGGCCTTCAAATGCAGCTTCCACCTACTTACTTTCATAATCATGTTGTACACAGGACATTACTCACCACAAAATGTCAAAGCTACTAAATGCTTATTATGTCATGGGCCTTCAAATATAGCCTCCACCTTCTTAATTTTTATGAGAACGCTACATCCAAGAGATGAATCACATCAAACTGCAACCCTGACGCCTTCCCAAAAAAGAATTTGAAGCCGGCCGAGTGTTTTGCTTGTTGCTCATCGGGCCAGCCGAGGTCTCGCGCTGTTAGCATTAGCAGATAAATTAGCAGTATCTCTTTTCAAATGCTAATCCTGCCTGCTCCTCGCCTCCGCCCTGCGCTCCAAAAATAGCCTCCGGGGCTTAGAGCAAAACAAAGATGGTGGCGACTGAGGCTGGCAGCCGAGCGCACAGTGCACTAATCCAAAATCCACTAGCGGGTGGACTTCATGCTGCTGACTTCTTTTGGAAGCTTTACATTCGATTCATTTTCAACCACACGTTCATCTTTAGTACAGAGAAACGGGAAGCGTATTTTTACGTAGACAGAAAAATGGGAGGCTGAAAGGGCCTCTTTAAAATTTGTCAACTTTTTTTTATAAACACGCTAAAGTCAGTCAAGAAAGCAATGATATATCATTTGTATTGTCTAGTTAATGGCCCCCGGGCCGTAGTTTGGACACCACTGAATTAAACCATCTCCTGTCAGTCATTTTTAGTATGTAGGACCAATCTTGCTTTATTTGGCACCGAAAAACTGTTGCATCAGACCTGATAATAAAATTTAAAAAAAAATTTGAATCCCAATTTATTGTGCCACTTTCAAAAAACGCCTCAGTTGCATCCCAGCAACTTTTTCAAGATGGCGATCACCAATGCGTCGCAGCCCGATGTGTCAGTTAGTTACGTTACTTGTCGTAGCACCCGAGTGTTTTCACTTTTGCGTCTTTTGCCTGAAGCGTCATCAAATGTCAGCAATTTTTTATCGCTGTCGTCAAAGTGGCGTGAAGAGCGCGTGAGGGTTCGCCGCCTCTTCCCAGAAAGCCCATCCGACATGACTCGCTCACTCAGCCCTGAGTAACGGAATCGTAGCACATGAATGGGAGTTGTGAATGGGACCGAGTGACAGCTTGCGCGGCTTTCATGAAGGGATCATCCTCTTGCTCGAGTGCTAAAGGCTCTTTAAAAGCCCTCCATAACCTTGCGCGGACCCAACGCACCCCCTCAGCCCACCCTCCGGCGCCTCGACACAATATATTCCCCGTGAGCCGGCAGACATTGTCCAAGTCTCAGCGGGGTTGCCGGTGGCCGCTGTGAGCGCGGCTTTTGTTACTGTTGTTAGTGGAAACACGACAGGAGTACTTTTAAGGCCTGAGAGTGGACAGGATCACCGGGAGTGGCGGGCGCTCGGGCCTGGCAAGGCCTTTCACCTACATCCATCCATCCGTCCAGTATCTGAAGCGCTTCTCCTGACGAGAATCGCGGGCGTGTCGGAGTCTCTCCCAGGCGTCTTCGGGTAGTAGGTGGCGGACAAGCTCAAATAGTTGCCAGCCAATCGCAGGGCACAACGGGGTGGGGGTGGGGGGGCACTGTGGACCAACTTTAAAGACAAACTAATTTTTTTGGCTAAACGTATTGGTTCACTGGTTCTACAACTTTTCATACCATATGCCACCCAAAAAATTACATCGTTCTTAAAGTAGACGGAAAGAGTATATGAAATCAAATTTCTTGCTGTCATCTTGGGCCATAAAATATGCTGAAAATCTCCCGTAAATCACGCCCGAACAAAATGATCCGAGTGCATTGCAGTTCTGGGGAAGGCAAAACATTCTGGGGGGTCTCCATCTATCTATCTATCTCGCTAGCGAGCTAGCTATCTCGCTAGCGAGCCGGCTAGCTAGTGAGCTAGCGAGATAGCTAGAGGGTGACACGGCAGTTGACTGGTTAGCACGTCAGCCTCACAGTGCGGATGTGGAGGGTTCGATTCCGGCTGCGGCCTTCCTGTGTGGAGTTTGCATGTTCTCCTCATGCCTGTGTGTGTGTTTTCTCTAGGTACTCCGGACTTTCCTCCCATGTTCCCCAAAAAAATAAATAAAATAAAAACATGCATGACAGGTTAATGGAACACTGGAAATTGTCCCGAGGTGTGAGCCCGGGTGGCTGTTCGTTGTTGTGTGCCATGAAATCATCTGGCAACCGGTTCAGGGCGTTCGCCTCCTCCTGCCCGAAGACGGACGGAATCGGCTCCCTCGTGAGGATACGCGGATTCGAAAATGGATTGATGGATATAGAGAGATATATTTGATCTTGCTCCATTTATTTAATTAATCCTTCTCTCAATCTTAATGTCTTTGACGTAAAGAGATGAAAACATTGCTCAAGTTGCCCATGAATAGGCTGCGCCGCAGGAGTGGACGCAGGAAGCCGATGACCTTCACGACTGCGTGACGCCAACGCTGTCACAAAAGAAATTAAAGTCATAAGTCAAGGGCGCCCTGTATTTTATTTGTATTCATTTGTTCCTTTGGTGGAATGGCTCACTGGAGTACGTTCCAATATGCAATGGAGCCTTTTCATCCCGTAAGAAGCCCCATGAGTCATAAAGCTTCCCGCGTATTGATTAGCTAATGTGGATTCCGGCTGCACAGTCATGTCAACCGACATTGTGTTTCTTTGCACCAACTAAGCTCTTCCGACTGCCAAATTCAAATACAGCCCTTTTTTTTGTCACTGTTTTTAAGTGGTTTGTGTGCACGTTGCCTCGGCCTTGCAGTATTTACCTTCACTATTTCTTCAGGAGCCCTTTTTTTCATATTGCCATAGGTTGGACAGAAGATTTCTGTTTGATACGCATGCTTCCGGTGCAGCCCAAGACATTGTGCTGCCCTTTGAAACTTGGTGGGGGGCTGATTGATGCCGGGGGCCATCGCCCCATTGCCCCATTTTTTTGCACACCCCTGCTGGATCGTAACCCATTTACTGTTCTGTTTTTTTCTTAATCGTTGGGATAATTTTGGCAAAGGGTATACCAAAGGGTTCTTTTCACTTGGTTCCATACACTTGTGAACAAAAAGCAAGAAGACAATTTCCTGAATTTGGTGCATGTTTGATTTCAGATGCAGTTCCTTCTCATGCCGTGGTTCCCTTTCACCAAAGTGCCCGCTCCACTTGAGTACGTTCCAATATGTGATGGAGTCTTTTCATCAAGTAAGAAGCCCAATAAGTCATCAAGCTCCCTGTGCATGTACGTTGGATATTGATTAGCTAATGTACGTTGCATCCAGTGGGGTGGAGGGGGGACGTTCAGCTCTCCTCGGTCTCCAGTGTCTTTTTTTTCCCCTCCACCTCCCCGGTGTATTCCAGTATGGCGTCTGGGCTCGGCGTCAGCACATTGCAGCAAATCGTCACCTCAGGGCGGCTCGCATAGGACAAAGTCAACGAACCGACATCCAGTCGTGACGCGCTCGGCCCGGGCAGGCCGGCCCGGCCCGACCCAGGCTCGGAGCGGCTTCCGATTGGACGGAGCGGCGATCGGGGGCGGGCCCTCCATCACCCCCGCCATCCCTCCTCCGAGCCCGGCGTGAGGCGGCGGGGACGGCGGCGGTGGGCGGGGGTGGGCAGGAGGGGGGCTGGTGGATGTTCGCCGAGCCGCCGCCACTGTCGCTCCGTCTCTCGCTCAGTGCGTCCTCCTCTTCTTCCTCCTCCTCCTCCTCCTCCTCCCGGTCGTGGTCGTCTCGCTCCCGCCGCTCGTCCATCATGGCTCTCAACATCCCCGGCGTGAGCGTCATGATGTTCTTCTACCTTTTGGTGCTGGCCATCGGCGTGTGGGCCTCCTTCAAGTCCAAGCGCGAGGCCAAGAAGGGCCACGGAGACCAGACGGAGATGGCGCTGCTCGGCAACCGCGGCATCAACCTGGCCGTCGGCATCTTCACCATGACGGGCGAGTACAGCCGCGCCGAGTTGCGCCTTCTATTTTTTATTTTTTTTGGGGGGGGGGGCACCGCATTAGGCGTGGGAACTGGGCCAAATGAATCCTAATTCGACCTCCGTTTCACCTCGTACACGTGATAACTCAAGCCCCGTTGTGTCGACGGCGTTCAGCGGGATGATGCACCGGCGCCCCGTTGCAGGTACGGACGGACGAAACTCAGGCGCTCAAGACAAAATACATTCGAGGCGGCCGCACATGAAATAGGATGTACCAATGCTACACTCGTATGACGTAAGAGTGGTATCTTCGAGGTGTATAGAATATCACATATGACGCACACGCGCGAAAGTAGACTGGGTGTCATGATGGTTAGTACATGAGCTGTACACGTCAGAGGGGCAGTGAAAATCATGTATGATGCAAATGTTATTAGACATGACTGGTTCATACGTTAATCATACTGTGCATAATGGACAAAAAAAAATTATAGGGTTGCACATTTAAATCAAATGCTCCCTTAGAGGTGTATAGAAGATGAAACAGGATGTAATCTGGTAGGTGAAATCACATCACTCAATCCCCTAAATTATATCGGAGGAGGAAACAGAACCAGTAAATCAAGGCAAAAAGCTAAAAAAAAACACTTGTACATTGGTTAAATACAGCAGCTATAAAAAGTCAACACACCCCTGATCAAATGCCAGATTTTTGTGATAAAAAAAAAAAAAAAAAAAAAAAAAGAGACCAAGATAAATGATTTTACAATTTTCCCCACCGTTGTTGTGGCCTATAACCTGTACTACCCAACTGAAGAAATGGAAATCTTTTCAAGAAGGAAAGTTGGCCAACATTGGCTCTGTTCGAATTACCCTCTCACATTCCTACTCATGTGAAATTGGAGTCAACGCACACACACACACACACACACACACACACACACACACACACACACACACACACACACACTTGCCACCGTTTCAAGTCCTCTAATTGAAACCCGAATAAAGTTCAGATGCTCTAGTCGGCTTTTCCTGACATTTTTGTCGTCATATCTTACAGCACAAGCCATAACATACAGAGAGCTGCCACAGCATCTGAGCCATTTCAGTCATCAGTAATATCAGTTGGGAGAAAGGTGCAAAAGAATTTTAAAGGCGTCATCATCAACAAGTACTTTAATACTTGGTTAAAAAAAAAAATACCCACAACTGGACAGCCCTCCAAAATTGATAAAAAGATGTGAAGAAAAAAAATCGCTTTGGGAGGCTGCCAGGAATGAAGGAATTTCTAGCAAGTAATGGCAGTTCACCACGCATGACATCAAACTCCTGTCTTCTGCGTCCGGACTGCGGCGTAGGTTGAACGTTTTGGCCATAATTGTAAAAGGTCTTTTTGTTGTGCTGTAATCTGCAAACCGGGCATCTGACAAGTAAGTGCTTATATGGTGGATTGGAGCAGTGCAGAACCTGACGTTGGTCCATTCTAGAAGTTTCGAATCCATTCCAAATGAAGTCCTACAGGAGCGCAAAAGACGTGTCGTGTGTCTGAGTGGTGACACCAAAGATCAAAGTTAACGGGGGTTCAGGACTTTGCGAGAGCTTGTTCGTTTCATCTTGCAAAATTATTGCCGATCCTAAAATTAGCGGGACAAATTGGCCGAGTGGACGGCGAGCTCGACTTTCTCCTCACAGTACGTGTTGCGTGTTGTGAGATAGTGGACCAAAGCGTACAGCGTAACAAACTCCGCATGGCTGTGGCAGGCAGCAGCGCCACTGTTGCTCGCAAGCGAGTACTGCACTCTGCCGAGCCCCCGTCGGCTTCCAGACACCGTCGACCAGTTTTGCACGATCTATAAAAGTTGCTGCTCATTTGGTCCAGGTGGAGGGCGCATTGGCGAGCACTTCAGGGCTACTTAAGCAACATGAGCGAAATTGGGTCTTTGCCGCTCGATATCGATGCATTTGTGACGACTAAACGGTGGTCGTGCAACATGACTTGGTCTGACACGTGCCGACTTCATGTCGGATGAAAACGGACAGCTCCTTTGGAACTATCTGAAGATGGCCCACATCCGGGGGCTTCACGTAGGATGCAGAAAATGGCGCAACTTTGTTATGAACGTTCCAAATTTGGACCAGAATCCACTGATTGAGTGTGCAAGGTCACATGACACCCGCAGGGGTCCCGCCCGGTCGGTTCCATGGGCATCGAACCTTCTGATGTAAAAACTCCCTTCAAGGATCCAACTTTCTGTTTCTGCAGGTAGAATTCATAAAATCTGACGTAAGTAGGGCACAGCGGTGGCGGCCGGGCAATAAATCTGATAGGTTAGTGATGTCAAAACCCGAAGAGGTGCCGCAAAGCCTAAAATGTGACATGCGCGCGTGTGTCTTGTGCCAACAGCCACGTGGGTCGGTGGCGGGTTCATCGTGGGCACCGCGGAGGCCGTGTATAACCCGTCCATGGGGCTGATCTGGGCCGTCATGCCCGTCACAGCCACCGTGTGCTTCATCTTCGGTAAGCGCTCCTTTTTAGGGAAGGCCGCCGCGGCTCGCCGCCTCTCGCTCGGTGCCGGGCCGCGGCGCCGTGCCCACCTTTTCTCAAAGCGCCATGAAAAATAGACACCCCCAGCACCCCCCCCCCCCAAAATAAATAAATAAATAAATAAATCGAGCGGTGACGTCCAAACAAGGAGAGCCTCGTCGTGCCCTCGCAACAGGAGGATTTGTGTCCTTAAGAACACTTAAGTCGTGTTGGCGCTGGAGTCCAAATAGGGTTTACAAGGTCCGAGGCTGACCCCTTCTGGGTTCAGAAGAATCAAAAGTGGGCCAACAAAGCCCGGCTGGAAGTAGCATGTGATCACAACAATCGCAATAAGAACTTGAGAAAGGCCGTGTCTGTTGAAATTTGCTGCACTGATGCGGGCAACGTGGAAAGTGGTTGGTTCCCGAGATGTCCGCAACCAGGTGAAGGATATTTTCAACTGAGCGTGGCTTGAACTGGACACACGCGGAAGGGGGAGCTTTCGGTGCAGGCGAAGCATTTTCAAAAGGCCCATTTTGCCAATTGGAAAAAACATTTCCCAATTTGTCGCCCTGAGCCAGCTGAATATCTCGACGAAAAGAGAAAGGCCGCTAACTAGGGGACACGTGAAACCAGCTTGCTGACCTCAGTCATGTGCTGGTCATTGTCACGACCTTCAAGTGCTCCACTGATAGCCTCCAAGGTCACAGTGGAAATCTCTTAAAGCCACAGTGCACCGCCGGGAGAAAAGAAAAGTCCAATATCACGGAATCAGTTTGACTTCCGCATTGAGCCGAGCATCCGTTTTCGAATCCGCTTCTCCTCATGAGGGTCGCGGATGTGCCGTAGCCTCTCCCGGCCGTCTTTGGGCGATAAGCAGGGTGCACCCTGAACTGGTTGCCAGCCAATTGCAGGGCACACATCGAAAAACGTGCGTTGGCGCTCACAATCACACCGAGGGACCAGGTCGGTCTTTTTTTGTTTCTCATGAATCGGTTACTTGCCACATAATTCATACTGTTAAAAAAAAAGGAAAGTCAAGATAATGACATTCCAGCATTCCTCCTCCCGTGCCCCCCCCCACCTGCCTCATTGAGCTCACTATTGGAGAGACCAAAAGAGACGTTCTTTTATTCATTTGATAGTTTTTATTTGAATGAATCAACCGATTCATCAACAAAAGAGGCATCAGCCTCAGAAAAATCCTTCTCACTCCGGCCCGACAAATGACGATGCGCATCATATTTCACTCTGCGAGTGAGCACGGACGGCAGCAATTCTGCTCAGTGTATTATTAGACATACGGTAGGTAGGTAGAAGGAAAATGCGGCTGCGGAAGGGCGACATGACGGTAATCATCGGATGAGCAAGAAATAGGACAGGAATCTTGAAAGCGTAAATGCTGGCTGGGCGGGGGAAAAAAAAAACAAAAGAAAACAGAGCGGGCCGTTTGTGGCACTCAACGCACTCAGACAACAGGTTGCGTAAGGTCATGTACTGTACGTGCAGATTAGCGGACATTCCTTTGCCACATGAAAGTCACATGATTGATCCTCTTACTCTTGATCAACGGAAATTTTCTCTCCCCGTCTGTGAGTGTGCGTGCGTGTGTCTGCGCAGTATTTTCATGCAACGGTTCACACGCTATATTATGTGAGCGTTTGGCGGCCGCGCGGGACACTGCGGCGCCTCGCGATACGAGTGACCCGGCGTACAAGTTTTTTTGGGCGATCTGAGCTGTCGTACGGTCAATTTGAGATACGAGTGGCGGCGGCTCTACTCGCCTCACGACAAGCGTCAGTTTGGCAAACGATGGCCGCTTCTTCAAAAGGAGGCTGCGAGCTGTTTGTTGCCACCCTCAGCTGAAGTTGACTCAAAAACGACACAAAAAAACAAGAAGAGAATTTAGCCTCTCTCGGGCTCACTACAGACCCTTTTTGTGTTTATTTGCTTTTTTTTAATCACGTGTGAAAACATGAAAGTCGGAATTTTCGCCAGGCTCCAAAGTGTGTGCAAAGTTTGTGCATGTTTAGTCCCACCTCAGCTGAAGTTGACTCGAAAATGACACAAAAATAACAAGAAGAGAATTTAACCTCTCTCGGGCTCCCTACAGACCCTTTTTGTGTTTATTTGCTTTTTTTTTTAGTCGTGTGTGAAAACATGAAAGTCGGAATTTTCGCCAGGCCCCAAAGTGTGTGCAAAGTTTGTGCATGTTTAGTCCCTCAAAAACGTGTTTCATTGTGACGAAAAATAATAACAGTAATCTATCCATCCCTCCTTTTTTTTCGAACCGCTTATCCTCGCAAGGGTCACGGGCGTGCTGGAGTTTCGCCTAACCGACTTTGGGTGAGAGACACCCTGAACTGGTCGGCCAGCCAATCGCACAACCGTTGGCATTCACAATCACACCTCGAGACAATTCACTTACTTGCCATGCGTGTTTTTGGAATGTGGGAGGAAACCGGAGTACCCGCGGAAAAACCCACGCAGGCGCGGCGAGAACACGCAACTCAACGGAGAAAGGCCGGCGCCGAAATCAAACCCTGCAACTCTGCACTGCAAGGCGGACGTGCCGACCAGTCGACCACCGTTCCGCCCTAATAACAATAAAAATCAAATGAAGGATTTCCACAAAAACAATCAGGACATCGCAATGATCGCTTCTGCGACCCGATAGACATGCAAGAGTCCAAACAAGAGTTAAGGTTTCCCCGCGAGGATTTGTACCGATCACGTCGGTGTCTTTTGCCGGCTCCTTCCGCCAAGTTGACATTAGCACGCTTCGTTCCGAGTGAATGCCAACATTGCACCAAAAAAAGCCTCAGCGCAAACACACCAAACGAATGGCAACCGCCCGCGACCATCTCCTGAAACTGTGTCATCCGTCATCTTGTTTTTTCTCTTTTTTTCCGGCGCTCATCCCGAAGGCGGGCTGTTCTTCGCCGAGCCGATGCGCAACAGCAAGTACGTGACCATGATGGACCCCTTCCACATCAAGTACGGCAAAGTGGCCACGGCCGCCCTCTCCCTGGCCGCGCTCATCTCCGAGATTATGTGGGTGACGGGCACGCTCATAGGATTAGGTAAGAATGACTGCGCACCGCGGCAGCTGGGCGCCCGCGGCGAGTGAAACGCAAGGCACGCGCGTTCCGCTTTTAGCTGGCGGCTACAAACGGATGGCTTGGCTTTTCCCAAAGTCGAGCGTCCAACAAGACAGAATGCGGTGGAACCCGGCTATTGGCGGGGGTTAGCGAAGGGCAACGCCAAAAATCCACAGACAATTGACGCCTGTTACACATCACACAAAAGAACGAAGTCTTAAAAGATACATCGGGGGAAAAAATGGTCGTCAAGGTGAATCAGTGGGTGCGCTTGGGTCCGCCGTGCACTTTTCAGGATGCTAGCTAGTCGCACGTTTGGCGGTGTTGCCCTTGTGGCAAAAGCGCCACCTTCGCAAGCTAGCTCCGGGTCGAGACAAGCCTGCATGAAGGGGGCAGCCCCAAATCTTGAGGGGGCATTTGTCAAACTGACAAATTCACTCACTTGGAAGCGGGTACACAAAACAAGTGCCTTGTAAAGCAGGCTCGGCACACTTCTTGTATCGTGGCGATTGTTGTTAGATGAACCACTTCTGAACTTGGGTGAGGGTGAGTTGTGTGTCCTGGCCTCAACCAACCGTAGAATGCATTGGCAAACAAATGTCTGAATGGACTTTTCATCAGGGTCAAATGTTGACTTGTGACTGTGGGGGGGCAGAGACACGCGATCCGTGTTATTGTGCTCACTTGGCCGTGCTGTCCAGCTGCGACGCTACGAGTGCTTGTTATGCTTGCTGGCTTCTCACCATTCGTTGTCAGGAAAGTGAGAATACCGCCCACCGCCAAGATTGTTTTTTTCAGCCTTAACCTTCCACCTTTGTGGGCACCTCGCTTTCTTATTTTTAAAACCATTTAGATGTGATAATGTTAAAAAAAAAAAAAAATTAACAGTAGGCTTTTTCACATGGTGTCCAACTTCACCTCTTTCAATCGATCAATATTATACTGCTTACATTTTTTTAGAAATATTCAACAGGATCGAATCATTCACCTTGGCTAAAATTATTCTACAGAAATTGCTTTCCCAGTCAAGCAACATCAGTTTCTTCTCAAGGTGTCGCTCGTTAGTACGACCGGCTTCTCCTTCGGAGGTCGTGGGTCCAAAATCCAAACTTCCTACCTGGCTTTTAATCGATTGCCCACCATTTTCTACGGTTTCTTCCTGCCGTCCAAAAATGTGCGCTCGCTGGACCGAAGACTCCAAATCGTCCTTCAGTGAGTTTGGCTGAAATGGAAAACGGTCAGTTTCAATCGAAAGGATCATTTGCCAACGTGTTGCTTTGCCGCACCTTGAAAAACGACGTAACGCGAAGTCAAGAATTTCAGGTTGCTCCAAAGTGAATTATTGACACAAGTCAAAAGTAAAATATTAGGCGTGATGGATGATTTGAAGCGCATCCAAATGTGTCACCGGTGCCGGCATTTGTTTGCCGGTGGCCCTGTGTGTGCCACAGGCGTGACCATGAGCGTGATCCTGGATCTGTCGTACACGGTGAGCATCTGGATCTCGGCCGCCGTGGCCATCACGTACACGCTGCTGGGCGGACTCTACTCGGTGGCCTACACCGACATCATCCAGCTCGTGCTCATCTTCATCAGCCTGGTGAGTACTTCCCCGCGCTTCGGGCTTTCATGATTGGCGATATCGGCGGTGGCTCCCTTGTGGTTGTTACTGTTTGGCGGGGGGGGGGGCTCGGAGAGGCAGCTTGGCAATCGCGCCGAGCGCTATCAGCCCAGCTGGCTGTGAGTGCGGCGCGTCAAGTGCGCAGCCACTTGGCGGAATGACACGTGAAGGTCAAGGCACGGACGGGGCAAAGGCGCTTGTTGTTTTTGCGGTGCTCGAGTCTCACAGTGATGGTCACACCACACAGTTGTCGCTCTATTGTTGTCGCGGCGCTGACATTCGTGTGTGTTTTTGGTGCACAAGTGCATTTGTGATGTCACCTGATGCACGCCGAAATGTGTGGTTGTTGTGGAAACTGCCGCCCGCAGTGGATGTGCGTTCCCTTCGCACTGATGAGCCCGGCCGTGACGGACATCACCCAGACGGCGTACAACTACACTTTCCAGCCGCCCTGGGTCGGCACGCTGGAGGAGGATCGAGTGTGGCGCTGGATCGATAACTTCTTAATCCTGGTGAGCGAGATGACAATGTTAGCTGTTGTTCCCATTTTGGATTGGATCAAAAATAAATAGTTGTGACATCATAAAATAGAATGTAATGCATTAAACGGTTTGTGCATCATGACTTATCGATGGGGGCTGGGGGGGGGGGGAGCAGAATAATAACAGTGATAAAGACACAAAGAAGGAAGAGTTTGACAATTTCTGTCAGTGCTCAATTCACAGCAAGATGCAGTAATAGGAGTTGTTTTCTGCATGATATGGTCTGTCGACGTGTGTTGCTGCACTGTTTGTATTCAAATATGCGTCGCTGATAACGGCAGTAGTCGCTATATTTGTTTTCCCATTCTGTGACGTTTGCCATTGTTGGTGAGCGTTCAGCACAGCGGACTTCCCCAATGTGGTTGTTTTAAATCCGTAACGTGCCATATCTTGTTCCGTTTGTAAGAAGGGCCTCAAACAGCTTTGAATCAGTTTCTGAAGAATATTTTCCGTCATCTGCCCAAACTTCTGCTTGAGCCGAGTTCGCGGTCACCCTGCACTGGCCGTGTCACGCGTATCTCAAGGCGCCGCGGCGTTCATCGAATCCATCTGTCCGTCTCCTTGATGCCTTGGCTTGTTCTTGCGTCTTCTCGTTCAAGGGTTTGGGCAACCTGGGCCTTCAGAACTTCCACCAGAGGACTTTGTCTGCCGCCTCGTCCACCACGGCCAAGATCACCTGTTTCGCCGCCGCCTTCATCGTCCCCACGCTGGGAATTCCTCCCATCCTGCTGGGCGCGGCGGCCGCCTCCACAGGTGCGCAAGCCAAAAAAAAGCCTGTTTCAAGGAATTTGGTGCCATATTCCCCCGTGTGTCGGAAAAGGAAGTCATTCTCCCGGCCACTCAAAGCCCCCTCAGTCCAGGAAAAGGACATCCCCCCTCGCTCAAAGGCTCAGGGAAGGACCAATCGCGGCTCAGCTTCAGAAAAGAGCTGCGCCGTGATTGGTCCAGCTGTTTTTGACCGCCGAAATGGGACAAAATCATTTGGAAAAGATTTCCCAACTGTGTCTTTTCTCAGACTGGAACATGACGTCTTACGGTTCTCCGTCTCCATTCGAGCGAGGTCAGACGGGCCTGGTGCTGCCCATCGTGCTGCAGCACCTCACCCCTCAGTACATCTCCATCGTGGGCATCGGAGCCGTGGCGGCCGCCGTCATGTCGTCCACCGACTCGGCCTTGCTTTCCGCCGCCTCCATCTTCACTTCTAACATCTACAAGAACATCCTCAGGACTCGGGTGAGGCAGCACGGGGGGCCGGCTACGTTCTGGGCTATATCGAAACAAATTGCCATCGGCTAGTTCATTGAAACAAAGTCACCGTGACCAGCTTCATCTTTGATCATGTGAGCCTTTGTCCCAAACTGATATGAGCGAACACGTGTGCACGCATTTTTTTTTTTGTCCGTTTCTTTTCTAAGGTTGCGGACATGTTGTTTCTTCAAACAAAGTACAGTAATGACGAGCACCTCCATTCATGAGCGCGCGGTGATTCTCTGCCTCCAAAAACGGCCTTTCTTTCCAAAAGTTTGCCAATGAGCAGCCCAAAGAAAAACAGTTCGGTCAACCCTAAAAAGTAACGGATGCAACTTGGTTTGTTGTTGATACAAAGTCAGAGGCGGCCGAGTGACTTTGCGTTTGGCGGCTCCCGTCAGGCTTCCGAGCAGGAGCTGCAGTGGGTGATCCGCGCCTCGGTGGTGGTGGTGGGCCTGGCGGGGACGTCGCTGACCTTCCTGGACAACAGCGTGCTGATGATCTGGATGCTGCGCTCGGACCTGACCTACACGCTCATGTTGCCGCAGCTGGTGTGCGTCCTATTCTTCGCCGTGTCCAACGGTTACGGGGCCGTCCTGGGCTGCCTGAGCGGAATGCTCTTCCGGGTCCTGTGCGGCGAGCCCGTGCTGGGCATCCCCGCCGTGGTGCGCTTCCCGGGCGGCGCGCTGGTGGACGGCATGTACGTGCAAAGCTGGCCCATCCGCACCATCTGCATGCTGGCGGCGGTGGCGTCCATTTTGTCCTTCTCCTTCCTGGCCTCGCTGCTTTTCCACAAAGGCGTCATCCCCGAGAGGTGGGACTTTTTCCAAGTGCTGACGCGGGACTCGGACGAGACGCCGGACGGCTCCAAGTACGACATCAAAGAGGACGACGTGAAGGAACAGAACGAGAGCAACGAAGTGTGCGAACCCATGCTGGAATCAACTTTTTAGAGGGCGTGACTTCGACATTGAGACGCCACCCGTACGCAGTCGTTTAGGAACAAAACGTATGCAAGTTTAGTAGTATAGCACAGTAATCCCCTGCTGTTCGTGGGCCATCGCAACCGACGATTTGTGCCCCCTTACCTCTTTTCCACTCGCAACCGACAGTCTAAAAGCCCAAAATGACAAAGTGACTCGCCTGATTTGTTTCTTAAGGGCCTCTCGCACTGGCCCGGAGACGAGTTGGGAACCTGATGGCCACTCGAGTGTTCGCTGATTGCGGGGATGTCTTCGCAACGTCTCCTGGAGACGAGCCCGGGTGGCCAGGGACCTCTGCTGATTTCAAGCGTGTTTGATTTTTGGTTTTCAGAGACCGTTTGGAAACTTGCACAGACTCATTTCTGTCCGCGACTCTCCAAGGCCTGCCAAAGACAAAGGAGACGTTGAGGCGTCATCTCGCAGATAGCATTTGTGTCTGTGACATCTCCAAGATGTCACGGTGACCCCCCCCCCACCCC